CGTTGATTAGAAAGGTATGGGGCCATTGACGCGGGGCCCCATGCCCATCAAACCAAACAATATTGAACACCGAGTGCTGTAATGTAGCGGTTGGAATATTCGGATTGCGTCCTAAGGAGAAGTGGAAGTTAGTCAGCGTCTCCCAGGCGTTGACGCGCGCTGGCTTCGCGACCCAGACGAAGTCGCGTGGCTTATAGACCTGCAACGCAGGCACGTCGATCCAGACCTTCTCGGCACACTTCAGGATCGTCCCTGCCATGTCTGGTTCGTCAATCATGGCCTGGCGTGCCGCCAGCAGCTGGCACAGCGGGAAGGGCCCATCGGGCCCCTCGAAGCGAAAAGCCATGCACGGCTTGGCCGCGCTGGCGGGGCGGTGCTGGCTGTGGCCAGGCCAGCGAGGCTGGGTCCGAGCCACGACTGAATACAAGTTCAAGTCAACACAAAGACAATGCAGAATCAATGCTATGTCAATATTGTGTTATGTCATGACATAATATCGCATGTGACGATGTCTGCTCGGCGATGCAGTACGCTATGATATGCACTGCCGTGCCATGAGACATACGATGTGCCGCGTTGTGATCTGCTATACTGAAAAGTACAAGTGAACCCCACCAGCCCTTTAGGGCGTGAGTGGTCTAAAGAGCCTGTTCTGCTAAACCCCCTTCTTCCCCTTCGGGGAGGGGGTTCCCCCCCCTACCCCCCCCCCTCTGGGCCTGGAGGGAGGGTGCCGCGAGGGGTCAGGGCGCCCAAGATGGCCCAAGATGGCTCCCAGAGGGCCTCAGAGAGTCCAAGATGACCTCCAAGATCGTGCAAGATAGCCCAATATGGTTCAAGATGGCTATCAATATGCACCCAAGAGCTCTCAATACCGCCCCAGGACGGCCCCACGTGCCCTCGGAGCTCCCCAAGGAAGCCCTCAAGAGACCTCCAGAACCATCAAAAACTTCGGCCACGCACCGAAACACTTTTTACCGAAAAGTGCGCGCTTGCGCGTTTTAGCCGCCGCGGGGGGGTGAAAAACCCTGGGCCATAGGAGCCTCGGCCGAAAACTCCACACTCTACACCAATGGCCCAAAGATGCAAAATCGGGTCCTGCAGCTCGGGCGAGAGAGGTGAGTTATGTTTCTATGGTTTTGAAAGGGTTTTCGGATTCTCACCTTTTGAAGCCAAGAACTGCCCAAAACAGCCCAAGAGACTCCAAACATCATCCCAAGACGGCCCGCTGCGAGAGCGTCCTCCTCCTCCTCCTCCTCCTCCTCCTCCTCCTCCCCCTCCTCCCCCTCTCCTCCGAGAAGCCACGCGACCAGGATCCCCGAAAACCAGAACCCCCTGGAACTTTGAAAATTTTGATTTTTTCGAAAATTTTGAAAATTCCAAACACTTTGACAATTTCGAAAATTTCAAAAATTTTGTAATTTTCAAACTTCCAATTGGTCGGGGAATCCGAGAAGCCACGCGACCAGGATCCCAGAAAACCCGAACCCCTGGAAGTTTGAAAATTTCGTTTTTTTTTTTTTTTTCCATTTCGAAAATTCCAAACACTTTGAAAATTTCGAAAATTTCGAAAATTTCGAAATTTTCAAAATTCCCAGGGGCCGGGGAATCCGAAACCCAGGCAACCAGGAATTCGAAAACCGCGCAAGGAATCCCGACATCCCTGAGATCTCCTCGAGAGGCGTCCGCGATTCCACTGCCCGAAAACTCCACACTCTACGCCAAGTCCAAAAATCATCCCAAGACGGCCCGCTGCGAGGGCGTCCTCCTCCTCCTCCTCCTCCTCCTCCTCCTCCTCCCCCCCCTCCTCCGAGAAGCCACGCGACCAGGATCCCAGAAAACCCGAACCCCTTGGAAGTTTGAAAATTTCGTTTTTTTTTCGAAAATTTCGAAAATTCCAAACACTTTGAAAATTTCGAAAATTTCGAAAATTTCGAAATTTTCAAAATTCCCAGGGGCCGGGGAATCCGAAACCCAGGCAACCAGGAATTCGAAAACCGCGCAAGGAATCCCGACATCCCTGAGATCTCCTCGAGAGGCGTCCGCGATTCCACTGCCCGAAAACTCCACACTCTACGCCAAGTCCAAAAATCATCCCAAGACGGCCCGCTGCGAGGGCGTCCTCCTCCTCCTCCTCCTCCTCCTCCTCCTCCTCCTCCTCCTCCTCCCCCCCCTCCTCCGAGAAGCCACGCGACCAGGATCCCAGAAAACCCGAACCCCTTGGAAGTTTGAAAATTCTGTTTTTTTTCGAAAATTTCGAAAATTCCAAACACTTTGAAAATTTCGAAAATTTCGAAATTTTCAAAATTCCCAGTGGCCGGGGAATCCGAAACCCAGGCAACCAGGAATTCGAAAACCGCGCAATCCAGGCAACCAGGAATTCGAAAACCGCGCAATCCAGGCAACCGGGAATCCAAAACCCAGGCAACCAGGAGGAGGAGGAGGAAGAGAAGGAGAGAGGATGGATATGAAGTTGGATACCGGTATCCCCTCCTCGTCGCCCATACCCCCCCCTCCCTCCTTCCATCCAGCTACAGGCCAGACTGGGGGCGCAGACTGGGGGCGCCGGGGGGCGCCCCAGCCAACCCCTACGAAGCCGCAGGATAGGACGTGTACAGAAGATGCACTTTGTCTCCCAGGCAGCATCGCACGGGTCCAGGGCAAGTCAGTGCAGGCAGACATGCATCAGAGTGGTTGGCGCCACAATGGGAGTTTCGAGTTCGCAACTCCCGGCCTGCCGTCTGCTGGCGCGACGGCAGCAGGAGCACCGGCGGCCGGAAAACTCTCCTGGCTGAACTGGGAAGAAGGATGTCCCGGCGCTCCTGGTCGGAGAAGCGCGCGTAGAGATTGCGCATTACCTTTACGGAAGCCCAGCCGCCCTGCGCTTGCACGACCTCCTCGGCATGTCCGCAACGTACCTTTCCGCCAGTGGGCGCCCCCTCTCCGCAGCGGGTGTGTCCCGATTACTGTACCGGGAGAGCAGGCGGCGAATGAACGCCGGAAGCAGTCGGCGCTCGCAGGGCGGGGCATCGCCGCCCCTGTCACGCAGAAGAGCGACGACTCGGCCGCAGTCTCCCAGGTGCTCTGCCAGCGCAGCTCCCCGGGCGTCACGGGGCAGCGGGCGGCGCAGCGCAAGCTGGCGCCTGTGCAGGGGGCATGCAGGGCTCCGCGCCGACGGAGACTCGTCTCGGAGTGCCCTGGTGGTGACCTAGCGCCACACCTGAGAGCACTGCTGACGGTTGAGCCAGCAGCAGCTGAGCGCCACGAGGGCGCCGCGAGCCACAGAGAGTGCGGAGGGTGTGGACAGGGGGGGGGTGCAGGGCGCTTGGCATCGCTCGGACGTGTGCATTTCTCCTTCGGCGAGGACCATCGAGGAGCATCCTTGATCATTTGGCGAAAAAAGCCACGCACGGAACCGAAAAAAACACACACAGGGAATGGACGTCCGAGCGATGGCGAGGGCTCCTCCTGCTGGACAGGGTCGAGAGAGACCAGGCAGGCGGAGGCACTCGCCGACCAGATTGGCCCGCTGGAGCGCGTCGCGCCGCCGGCTGTCCCGTGGCCTGGCAGGCTGTGTTGGCCTCGCCCTCTCGACCCCATCGCACAGCACGCGCGAGAGCCCAGGCTGGCGCAGGCCATACTCGAAGACCAGACTTCACCACCCACCAAACCACCCCAACCCAACCCGAAGGCCTCAATTTGCCCTCCATTTCCAGTGGGGGGGGGTCCGGGAACATCGAAAAAATACATATGGAGCCCACACACCCCCCAACCCGAAATTCGGGTCTTCGGGTTGGGTTGGGGTGGTCTGGTAGGTAGTCAAGACTGGCTTGCTGGAGCGCGTCGCGCCGGCGGCCGCCCCGTTGCCTGGCAGGCTTCGTCGGCCACGCCTCCTCAACGCATGACACGGCGTGTGAGAATCTTCTTCCTCCTCCGCTTCCCCTCGCTCCTCGACGGAGTTAGGGGGGGCGGGAAAGGAGCGCTCTGGAGGGAAAGCGGCGTCCGTTCTATCTCACTGGGGCGCAGGCCGACCCGTCGTCGGGCCCCTCCTTCTCCCTTGCATCACTTTCCCCCCCTTCCCATCTCTTCCTTTTCCGCTCCTCCCTGTCCTCCTCCTCTTTCTCCGCACGACATCTCCAGGGGTCATTTTCTGGACGACGCCTTCCGGAACTTGTTCTTCCTCCTCCCGTGTTTTCATCCCGCTATTTTTGTTCGTTTTCTCTCTGCGTCCCTTTCCCTTCGGGCCTCCTCTTACCCTATCTCCTTCTCCTTTTCTGTTCTCCTTCGGGACTCTCTCTCTCCCATCTCCTTTCCCATCTCTCCTCCTTCGGGACTCGCCCTTGTTTTGTTCCTTCTCTATTTCTCTTTCAGGGCCCGTCCTGGGAGGGGCCCATGCCTCCATTACGCCAGGACGGCCCTTCAGAAGCCCTGAGAGCGCCACGATACCCTGCAGACAGACCACGCATGCACAATGCCCCAAGGGACCCCCCCCCCATGCGCACTGTGACGGCTATTCCGTGCCCTGGCGGCTCCGGGTAATCAGGAGGCATTTTGCTGCGACGGTGCCCCTCGGCGCGTGCAGCGTTGAGGTGCCCTGGCTGTTGAGCCCATGCCGCTACCCTCTGGCCTCGATTTCCCTTTGTCGGACCTCCTGGGAGGCCCTCTTCGCCAACGCTGGACTCGCCTCGAAATTCTGGTCAGAACGCACCCCGGGAGGGGGCGTAGCGGTATCGGGTATAGGCACCTTTTGGTTTCTTTTTGGCGCGTCAGTGACGCTCTTTCTGTGACCATTCGGCATCCCCTCCTCTTTTTCCTTGCCTCTCCCCCCGTCCCCCTCCCCGACTGTGTTTTGTGCCCGGCTTTGTGCCCCCTTTCCCCCCCCCGCCCTCTTCCTCCCCGTCCGGGCCTCTCTCACGACACCAAGTATACAACCATGCGCACGTGCCCCCCCCCTCTCCCCCCCCTCCCCCTTTCGCCCCTGCCCTTCCTTTCTCTTCCTCGAGGTTCTGGCGGGTATGGCCAAGCCGCGCAGTGGATGGAGAGCGACCCGTGGAACGCGCCTCAGTGGTGGCGCCAGATGCTTCGCAAGCAGATGATCCATCGGCCCGTTAAGAGAGAGGATGATGAGGAGGAAGGAGGAGGGAGGGAGGAAAGAGAGGATGAGGAGGATGAGTTTGATGATGATGATGATGATGATGATGATGATGATGATGATGATGATGATGATGATGATGATGATGATGATGATGATGATGATGGTGATGGTGATGATGATGGGGAGGAGGGAGGAGGAGGAGGAGGAGGAGGAGGGGAGGAGGGAGGGAGGAGAGAGGAGGGTGAGGTGGATTCGGAGGAGGGAGGATGGACGGACCTCCTGGGGCCGGCTGGATTTTAAGTGCCCTCCCAATAATGCCTTATGCGGCTCCCAGAACGCGAGCAGAGTGCGCCAGGTCCACGGGGAGCGAGTAGACGCAGGGAGGGGGGGACGAGAAGTGTGAGGGAAACGATGGGGGGAGGAATGGAATAGAGAGAGAGAGAGAGAGATTAGGAGGAGAAGGGGGAAGGAGGGAGGCGAGGATGGTGGAGAGGAGAGGGAGAACATGGAGGAGTGAGGATGGTGGAGAGGAGAAGGAGAACGTGGAGGAGAGGAGCACGCAGAGGAGGAGGCATGAGGAGGAGAATGTAGAATATAGGACGGGGGGTAGGAAGGAAGATGAAGAAAGTGGCGTGGAGGGCTGCTTTGGGGGTTCTGATGTGCAGAGTGAGTCTCTCTGGGCCCGAGCGAGGGAGGAAGCGTCCCAGGTATTTCTTCTGTGCTTTTCACTCTGTCCCATCCCCCTCCCCCGTCCCATCCCTCTCTCTGTCCCCGTCCCATGATTCTCACTCCAGGCGCAACAAGACGATAAGTTGTGCGGACTTCTCGGCCTCGCACTCTCTCTTTCTCTCTCTCTCTCTCTCTTTTTCCCTCTCTCCTCCCTCTCTCCGCGAAACAAGAGCATACGCCACTGGACAGGCTGGCTGCGCTCAGAGCTCGGCGTGCCGATCAAGATGCGCATCAGGTCCACTGGTGTGGCAATGAACTGGCTCGGTCAATTGTGTCACGAGACACCTCATGTCTCTCTCCAGTCCGTGCCACCTCCGCATCGCACATGCACCATCGATGGTGATCAACTCGGTTCGACGTGCCACTCACTCCACCTCTTAGGAGGGCGAGGAGGAGAAACGGATGAAGGTTCCAGCATGAGACAGCGGGGAGCGTCAGGGGTGAATATATGATGGTGATGATGATTATGATGATGATGATGATGATGATGATGATGATGATGATGATGATGATGATGATGCTGCTTATGATGCTGATGATGCTGATGCTGATGCTGATGCTGCTGATGCTGATGCGGATGCGGATGCAGATGCGGATGAGGATGAGGATGACGATGAGTATGCTGACGCTGATGCTGCTGATGATGATGGTGATGATGCTGATGAGGCTGATGATGATGATCATCATCATCATCATCATGATCATGATCATGACGACGATGCTGATGGTGTTGACGATGACGATGACGACGATGCTGATGGTGTTGATGATAATGCTGATGGTTATGATGATGCTGATGATGATGTTGATGGTGATGATGGTGATGATGCCGATGATGATGATGATGATGATGATGATGATGATGATGATGATGATGCTGCCGATCATGACGTTGATGCCGATAATGATGATTATGCAGATGCTGCTGCTGATGATGATGATGATGATGATGGTGGCGATGGTGATACAGCTGAGGAGGATTAGGAGGAAGAGCAGGTCTACGATTTATATGACGACGGAAGTGACGCAACTAAGGATGGTGATGATGCTGGTGGTGGCGTTGAGGAGTTGATGATGGTGGTGTTGATGATGATAACGATGATGGTAATGCAATTGAAGATGCTGATGATGATGCTGGTGATGATGATGATGATGATGATGATGATGATGATGATGATGGTGATGGTGATGATGATGCTGATTGTGGCAATGGTGATGATGATGGCGATGATGCTGATGATGATTGGGATCGTGATGCGGTCTATGGTTATGATTACGATGTCGATGGCGACGACGACGCCGGTTCTGATCATGATGATGAGAATGTCTGCGACGAGGGTTATGCCACTGATGACGTCGATGACGATGGTAATGGCGATGATGCTGCTGATGCTGGTAGTCACGATTCTGTTAATGCTGCTGATGCTGATGATGACGGCCATGGTTAAGATGATGACAATGGTGATGCTGATGGTGGCTATGCTGCTGATGATGATGCTGATGATGCTGATGCTGATGGTGATGCGGATGATATTGATGATGCTGATGCTGATGGCGATGATGATGGTGATGAGAATGGTGATGATGAAGATGATGATGCAGATGATGATGATGATGCTGGTGATGATGATTGTGATGATGATGCTGATGATGCCGCCGTTGACACGGATGACGATTGTGATGATAGTGTTCATGATGTCAGGAATGACAATGATGAAGACAATGCTGGCGACGATGCTGATGATGATGATGATGATGATGATAAGGAGCTATGGAGATACTGACGATGGTGATGATGATGATGACGATGATGATAACGATGATGACGACGATTATGAAGATGCTGATGATGCTCATGGTGCTCATAATGACGAACATGTTGATTATGCTTGCGACAATGGTGATGTCGATGATGATGGTGCTGATGCTGGTGATCATGGTACTGATGCTGATGATGACGACGATGCCGATGCCGATGACGAGGACGAGGACGATGCTGACGATGATGATGCTGATGATGATGGTGATGATAATTATGATGCTGATGGCACTGATGCTGGTGATGATAATGATGACGGTGATGGCGATGACGATGACGATTGTGATGACGATGGTGATAATGTTGATGATGATGGTGATGATGATGCCAATGATGATGATGCTGTTGATGATGATGACGATGGTGATGGTGGTGATGATGATGATGCTTATGATGATGATGATGATGATGATGATGATGATGATGATGATGACGATGATGATGATGATGATGATGATGATGATGATGATGATGATGCTGATGCTGATGCTGCTGCTGATGATGATGATGATGATGATGATGATGGTGATGGTGATGGTGATGGTGATGGTGATGGTGATGGTGATGGTGATGGTGATGGTGATGGTGATGGTGATGGTGATGGTGATGATGGTGATGGTGACGATGGTGATGGTGATGGTGATGCGCATTGTGGTGATGATGATGTTTGGTGGAATTTGATGAGCACGAGTATCGGAGGAGCAGGAGGACGAGAGGAGGAGAGGAGCAGAGATGAGGAGTAGGCTGAGGAGGAGTACGAGCATGATCAGGACCATTGATGATAATGGGAATTAGTCGGGGAGCTGCACAAGACTTGGAATCTATGGAGCACGATGAGACAGATGCAACTAAGGAAGGAATGCCTGTGTTAGCCTGCGGTTTTCACTTAGGTTGTCTGTTCGCAGTTTCCTGTCGCTGTGGGCGTGTGCGTGTGTCGGAGGGGCATGAGGATGCGGAGATGGAGGAGGGGAGGGGTGTGCGAGCGGAGGAGAAGGTATAGGAGGAGGAAGAGGAGGAGTGATAGAGTGATAGGAGGAGGGGGAGGAGGAGGAGGATGAGGAGGAGGAGGAGGAGAGGAGGAGGAGGAGGAGGAGGAGGGGAGGAGAAGAGGAGGAGGAGGAGGAGGAGGAGGAGGAGGAGGAGGAGGGGCAGCAGGAGGATCTAGGACGAGGACGAGAAGCAGGGGCAGTACGAGGAGGACAAATAGGAGATCAGGATGTGGACGAGGACATAGACGAGGATGAGACCGAGAAGACGTTGGTCGAGGACGAGGAGGAAGAGGAAGAGGAGGAGGAGGAGGAGGAGGAGGAGGAGGAGGAGGAGGAGGAGGAGGAGGAGGAGGGGTAGGAGGAGGAGGAGGAGGAGGAGGAGGAGGAGGAGGAGGAGGAGGAGCAGGAGCAGGAGCAAGAGCAGGAGCAGGAGAGAGCAGGATGAACGATGTTCCAGGCTCCTGTGCGCCTCTGAGGGCCTCGGGGACCTCCAGAGGCCACTGGACACCCCCGGGGGGCCTCCGGAATCAGCCGTGGTCTCCCCAGGTCTGGGCGTCTCGCCGAGCGAGGGCGGGAGGGGCCGATGGGGCACATGCGCGCTAGGCGCTCTCTCGCCATCTTCGAGGTCCGACCCACGCACCCTTCCCGCTTCGCCGCATCCTGCTCGCAAGCTGGAACATGTACATGACCAGTGGCGGGCTGTTTTTCAGTCCCAGGTCGGGGACGTCGGGGAGGTGTGGCGTGTACTCGTTTCCCCGTGCTCCCAGAGAAGCATGGAGAAACGTACGCACAAGGGTCCCGTATACACCAGGATCCGCATTCCTGTGCTAATGTCAGTGCAGGGCCAGAAAAAGCGTCGGTGTATGTAGAGTTCGGCTCCCTGCCTGCTGCATCCGCCTGCTGGGGTGCCTTGGAGGGCTTCGCTGCCCTGCAGTCGACCAGCATGGCAAGGATGAACGGTTTTCCAAGCTTACCGTTGTATCCTCCCCCTTCGGCCCATCCTTGGCCGCTTCCGTTGGTCGCGCCCCGCTCACAAAGTGTCGGCATGGCCTTCCAAGGCCCTTGCGTCCTCATCGTGCGTCCTGATTCTGTGGGTGGACTGCAGAGCAACCCCGTCGCGAGTGACGCGCAACGAGAGGGTTGGGCTGCGGCGGCACAGGAGAGGGGAGTTCAGCTCGGGGGGCTGCGGAGACCCAGGTCAGGCCAGGGCACCAGTGTTCGCATCACACAACTGGGGAGGCCACACCTTTCTTTCATTGGACGGGACAAGCAACTGAGCGCCTCCAGCCGGCCCTGCTTTGCAGGGCCTACTCGCTGGTCGTTGAAAGTATGTTTGGATTCCCAGATCCCAGTTTACTTCAATCGCCTTTCTACTTCAAGAATCGATCCGGTTTTGCTGTTGTTTGTTATTCTCTGGGCCGGCCCGAACCCAATCTGCTTTATCCGCCTCCCTATCGTCATGTTTCTAACTGCTTCTTCGGACCGACGTTTGAGGTGAGCAGGGACCCACTCCTGAGAGAGTGCCTGCGCACAGGAGAGTGACGGGGGCAGGAGGCGGAGAGGGAGGCGCGCCCCGAGTCTTCCTCATCCTCGTCATTCTCGTCTCTCTCCTCATCATCGTCCTCCTCGTCCTCGTCGTCTTCGTCAGCCTCCTCATCCTCTCGTCGTCCTCATCCTCGTCGTCCTCCTCGTCCTCGTTCTCACCGTCGTCCTTCTCATCGTCCTCCTCGTCCTGATCGTCGTCCTGTTCGTCGCCGTCCTCGTCCTCATCATTCGTCCTCGTCGTCCTTGTCCTTCGTCGTCGTCCTCCTCCTCCCCGCCTCCTTCGGTCGAAAGGATAATCAAGCCAACACGGATGCTGATGTGTTTGTGTGTGTGCCGAGCGCAGATGATTATTAATCGCTTCGCTCATTCCGCCGGCCCTGGAGCGCTATTTGGGGCCTCTTGGGGCCGTCTTGGGGGCTTCTTGGGAGCGTCTTGGGGCTCCTTGGCGGCGTCTTGGGCCATGGGGCCTCTTGGGGGGCTCCTGGGGGCCCCTTGGGGCGGGAGGGGGGGTAGTCGATTGCAGCCCCCCCTCGGAGGCCACGATCCTCGTGAGGGGTGGCGAAAAATAGCCTCCCCCCTGGGGATCGCCCAGGGACCAGCCGGGGATCGGCCAGGGTACTTTTCGTCCGGGGCCCCCCAGGGGCCGCCCCGCGCGCGCGAACTAGAAATATTGTTAAGTAATTACCGTTGGGCCACGCCTTTGGCCCATTGGGCCAGCGAATTTGTTCTCCCTGCAGGGATCCGTCAGCCTAAATTGCACTGCGCAGAGGCATCGGATGAAGGTCCTCATCGCCGCTGTCCTCCGCCTCCTCCTCGCAGGGCGCCCCTGTTTTTTTACTTCTCGTGACCCTGCTTCTGTACCCCCCCTTCGGGGTGTGGTTCTCACCCCCAGGAATCCGTTTGGCTCCCCTCGGGCCGCCCGGAGGAGGAAGCGAAAAAAAAGGCAAGCGGAGACACAAAGCGGGTGCCTCCTCCCCGCCGCCCTCGCCGCCCTCGCCACCCTCGCTTCTCGGCGGCGAGCGAGGGGGGGAGGTCAGAAGGGGCGGGCCTTCACAGAAGGCTCGGAAGTCCCCCGGCCTTCTGGGAAGTTTTCTGAGCCTTCCCCGAAGACGCAGAGAGCTTATCAGAAATTTTCAATCCTTCCCCGAAGCCGCAGACAAGAACTTCCCAGAAGGCGCGAGGGCTTCCGAGAAGTCCCGCCACTCTCTGAGAGGGCCTTCTACTTCTCGCTTCCCCCCTCGCTCGCCGCCGATTCAAAAGGGTGTCTCCCTCCCTCTCGCCGCCCTCGCTTCGCCCTCGCTCCGCCCCCCCCTCCGCCCCCCTCGGCCCGCCGAGGCACGCGCCCGGCGCGCACGCCCTGGGGCCCGAGCACGGGGCCGTCTCGGGCTGGACCCCGCTGGGCGGGCCAGGAGGCCGCGGGGGACGGGGGGCCGCGGCGTGCAGCCAAGAGGGCAGCACCGGGCGCCAGAGGACGATCGAGGATCGAGGGTCTAGGATCGAGGGTCGAGGATCGAGGAGGAGGAGGAGGAGGAGGAGGAGGAGGAGGGTCGAGGGTCGAGGATCGAGGAGGAGGAGGAGGAGGAGGAGGAGGAGGAGGAGGAGGAGGAGGAGGAGGGGGAGGAGGAGGAGGAGGAGGGGGGTCGAGGGTCGAGGGTCGAAGATCGAGGATCGACGAGGAGGAGGGGGGAGGGGGAGCTGAGGGATGGGGAGTCTGAGGGGGAGCTGGGCCGCTGTGTGCATCCATCGGGGGTGGACAGAACCCCCAACAGTGACACTTCGATTAGTGAATTGTCCGTCTTCGGTTTTCGAGAGGGCGCCGTGGCCGTTATTTTCCAGGCTTGCGCCCGCCAGGTTTGGGCCTCAGGTCGTTTTCACTAAACCACGTTTTGCTAAAGGGGGGTCTGTCCATCCCCGAATCCAAGAGGGCAGCGTCGGGCGGGGCTGGGACGAGGATGCATCTCAGAGAAGGAAGAAAGGACCCGTACCGCTGCCCTGGCCTCGTTTTCCCTTTTTTGCGGCCTCCCGTGGGGCCTGATTCGTCGCCACCGCTGGATTCGCCACAAACTCCTAGACAGAATGCACCCCAGGAAAGGTCCAGGGAGTAGCGGTATCGGTACCTTTTTGGTTTTCCCATGAATCCGTTCAGGGGCGGTCCGGAACGCTCTCAGAGCGTTCCGGAATGCTCCGAGAAGGCCGCGGCGCCCGAGACATCCTCCAGGGCCGCTGGATTTCAGAAATTCTCGAATTATGGGGGCAAGCGATTCAGAAAATGAGTGGGGCAGACTAATAGAAACCAGACTGTTTTTATCGTCTGCCCATTGCCGCCGTGCGAAACTGATTTTCTGTTCGTCCTCCTACATTCGTTTGATCACCCGCGGCCGCGGGAGGAGGGTTGCAGAGGGGGCTCCGGAAGCGCCGCCAGGGAGTCCCAGCGCAGGTCCAGGAAATCCACGGAGGACCGCCGAAAGCTTATGTTTATGCACTTGTTGCATCCCCGACTTAAGTACCAACCTGAGGACGGCCCAGCTGTCGTCTTCACGGACGGCGGTTGGAGCTTTAAAATGAGGCCAACGTTGCCGCGGGAGCAGCGTGTCGGAAGAACCGAACAAGTTCGCATTGAAAAACAGATTTAAACAACACGCTACCCCAATCCTGTGTGTAAAAAACAGCACGCGGGACTATTCGAACTGAGCGGAAGCTCGAAAATGAGGCTAGCGTTACAGCGGCAATAACATTTTGGAAGAGCCGAACACGTTCCGAATGAAAAACAAATATGAAAAACGGATTCGCGCCAAAGCTGTGTAATCAAAAACACGATGCGGAGGGGTACAGGAAATCTTCCGGAGTGCGCATCAGGGGAGAACAGGGAATAGTATTCATATTGGATAATTGTAGAGGAACAAGACTTAGCAGGGGGAAGGTCAAAAGGGATAGAAAAGCGAGGGGGAGGAGGAGGAGGAGGAGGAGAAGGATGGGGAGGAGAATAGGGAGAGGAGGTTGGGAAGGAGGTCGCTGTCTGAAGGCGGCGCAACATGTTTGCCTTCCGCGCAGGGCTGGCGGATCTGAAATTTCACTTCCCATTCAGGGCTGGCCAAAAGCAGCCCCTGCGGATTCGAATCGTCAGCCCGCGAAGTCCTTCTCAGCTTTTGCTTGCCCGGCTCTGAATTGACCCCCCGCCCCCCCGCCCTGAATTGTCAGCCCGCGCCCCCCTGGGCCTCCAGACAACCCCGGATTGTTCGCCCTCCGCCTGCTTGCCCCGCCCCCCCGCTATTGCGGTGGCGTGAAGGCCCGCGAAACTATTTTTTAATCGTCCGCCCCAGAAAAGGTTTCTTTAATTTAAAAATCGCTCGATCATTACCCTCATCCGATATCCGATGTTATCTTCGTTTTGGCTTCGTCTTGCGGTGGGAAGAGGAGCAGGAGGAGATAAGTCGCAAGCCTCCGTCGTTTCGCCGTCTCGTCGCTTCTCCCTCCCCCCCAATGCACGCTCGCCACGCCAACCATATCTTGCCACGTCTGTCCGCCCCCCCACCAGCAAAGGCCGCTGCGGGGGCCCGGCAGCGTCTTCCTCGACACACCTCCGCACCGTCAGTGTCGAGCGTCCAGTCCAGGAGGAAACGAAGAAGGAGAAGGAGGAGGAGAAGGAGGAGATGCGGCGTCTGAGTTCAGAGAGCTGCGGAAGGGGGTGGCGCCTGGCACCCAGCTCAAGTGTGGGCAATCTGGCCCTCTTCACTTCTGAACGTTTCGCGTCTTCCCACCCAGCCCATCCAGGAACGATGCCTGGGGGAGCTGCCCTAATCGGGGGGGGGGGGCGTGACATCATTTGGATACCTCAAGGAACCTCAGTTACCTAGATGACTCTGGGATGCAACCCCCTCCACCCTTCGTCCTGCTCCTTGTCTTGCTGCTGTTGCTGCTGTTCCTCCTCCTCCTTTTCCTCCTCCTGCTCCTCCTCCTCCTCTTCCTTCTCCCTCCTCCTCCTCCTCCTACTACTCCGCCTCTTCGCCGTTCGCAGCATGTACCTTTGGGGATTTTCCACTAAGGTACAAGCTGCGTTACCTGGCGGGCTACTAGTCTATCTATGCGTGTGCACTGTCTGTCATTACCGCCTTAGCCGCGGCGCCCGCCAGGTGCCCTTTGCGCCGAGTCGTTTTCACTTGTTTTGCCGCACCACTTCAAGAACGCAACACGCATCAGCGTAAGGTTTGGCGAATTTACGAGAACGAGGATGCTGATAATAATAATAATGATGATGATGATGATGATGATGATGATGATGATGATGATGATGATGCTGATGATGCTGATGATGGGGAGGAGGAGGATGATGGGGAGGAGGAGGAAGAGGAGGAGGAGGAGGAGGAGGAGGAGGAGGAGGAAGGGGGTAGGGAGGGGGGGAGGTTCCTTTTTCCTTTCCGTCTATCCGCACGTCGCCGCGAATTCCCGTAGAGCGTCACTGCGCCCGCCCAAACTCACCATGATGCCTTGCGGCCTCGTGACAACGTGCAGGCGCGTGAATTCATCACCGCATAGCTTCCGCCAGCCACAAGGATCTTGTGAGAACATTAGGAAGCATCCTCCGTTCCGCTCTTTCCACCCCAGTTTGGACAAGCGACCTTTCCCTCCCGCCTCCCTCCTTCTCCTCCCCCTCCTCCTGACAGCGACACGAGCGGCGGCATCGATTGGCAACGACAGTTGCGGCTGACTTCCGCCATCAGGCGGCCGCGGTTGGAACGACGAGGGCTGGAGCAATTTCCCCGCCGACCCACCCGGCGCCTAGGGGGACGGGTCGCTGCTTTGACGGAGGGTGGTGCGGAGGGAAGGAGGGAGGGAAGGGAGGGAGGGAGGGAGGGAGGGAGGGAGGGAGGGAGGGAGGGAGGGAGGGAGGGAGGATGATGATGATGATGATGATGATGATGATGATGATGATGATGATGATGATGATGATGATGATGATGAGGTGGAGGAAGAGGAGGAGGAGGAGGAGGAGGAGGAGCAGGAGGATGAAGCGTCACAAGAAGAGGAGAGCGCTGGTAAGGATGAGGAGCATGAAGGCACCGCCTGCGCTGCCATCGATTCGGTACATCGACGCGGTAGCGGCCGCCGTGCGCTCATTGAGCCTCGTGGCGTTGATAAGCTGCACTGGAATGCGGTGGACGTTCTTGCAACCTCGTGAAGCCTTGCGGAGCGCGTCCTCTGCGGACGCAGTTGTGGACGCCGCAGAGGTTGTTGTTGCTTCGGCGTGCGAGACGATGTCCAAAGCCGCTTGCACCCGAGGTGGCAACGGCGCATCACCCATGATATCAGTGTGGGCTGTCAGAATACATTCACCAGATTGCTGGAGTGCGTTGGGCCATTGCTGTCGCCGCCCTTGCCGTCCTTGCGACGCCGATGGGAAAACCCTGTGCTGCCTGTCGGTGCTCCCCCAACTGCACTTCCAATCGATTGCCTCCCAATCGCAGTCAGAAGCAAGCAATCTTGACAATGGTATCTAAGACGCATTCGGCGAACCACCGCCGCCCCTTGCCTTCGGGAAACGCCCATGAGCCCAAACGTTGGGTCGATGTCTGGCCAAGCTATTGGACTGTGTTCCCCCAGCCCTTGTGGACCCCGTAGGGGGAAAGGTGGGGGGAGGAAGAGAAGGGAGGAGGAGAGGGAGGGGAAGGAGGCAAGCTAGGTGCGCTCGCATCATATTTGACGTCCTACCCCTCCCTCCAATCCCGTACCATGGCGTAGATCTCCTCTTCTATTCGCACAGTCGGGTGCCGAGCAGGGCAATGATCCGGAGAGGGTGCGCGATACATCGTAGAGCACGGCATAGCAGGGTGTAGAAGAGCACGGCAGAGCGTAGTATGTCATAGCATGGTGTGGTGTTGCGTAGTGAAGAAACAAAGCATTGCAACGTAAATGATGGCATCGCACAGCGGCACAGAACCGAAGATGGCGTAGCATGGCGTTGAATATCAAAGTGTAGCAGGACATAGCATGGCGTGGCACTGCGTAGTCAAGCACTGCATATCCTAGCATTGCAGCTGAAGGCATGGCATCGCATAGCAGAACACCATATAGCATCGCATTGCATGCCATGGCATGGCGCTGGAAACAATGACGCCAGCGCTGCAGCGGGAGCACGATTCGGAACGAGCGGATACGCAGAAAAGAGGCCAGCGTTACAGCGGGAGCACGATTCGAAACGAGCGGAAGCGCAGCGGGAATACGTTTCGGAACCAGCGGGAGCCCAGAAATGAGGCCAACGCTTCAGCGGGAGCAACATATTGCAACAAAAGCCAAGCGAAAACCCAACTCCCGGGAATCCGGTGTGTAAAAAAAGAGTGCGTGAGAGGGGGCCGGACATCTTCCGGACGTCATCAGGGCAGAGAGGAGAATAGTATTCATATTGCGAAATTGTAGAAGGAGGCGGAGGAGGCGTCTTGAGGCCTCCTGGAGGCTTCCTGGGGGCCTTCTGTGAGGTTCCACGGGCCTTTGGGGGGGCTTCTTAGGGGCTCTTGTCGTGGGAGTGCTCTTGAAGGCCTCTGGGGGTGTCTTGGAGGCGTTTGGGGGCGTCTGGACACGATCTTGGGCGTCGTGGAGCGATCTTTCGGCGAATCTGGCCCCTCTTGGGTCCCTCCTGGATTGAGCTCCGAAGAGCTCCTGGGACTTCCCAGGAATTCCGGGAAGCGGCTGGGAAAGTGAGGGAAATCACGGTGGCTGATCACAGTAAGGAAAACCGTCGAGCTTTGTCACGAGTGCAGCGTGTGTGCCCAAGGGTAAGCAGAGAGCTCGGCTCCCTGAGAGGTCTGAGGGTAGGGAGCCCAGCCCGGGGTCCTGAACCGCCCGACACAGTCCCCGACCGAATCCACCATCGCAGCACACGAGGCAGCCTTGGAAAGTTCCCGATCGGGGTGGCGAAGGCACGAGTCAACAATAAGCTGGTCCCCAGAAGGCTGGTCTGAGGGGGACCGCCATAATCAAGGAGAGACCAGATCTGCGGCGTGCTACTTACAGTATTGCGACCATCCTCGTCTTCCGTGCAGGGTCTCAGGAGTCGGCAGGATGACCATAAACTCCCGATATATGAAGGGGAAGATGCCACCTCATTCAACTCAACCAGCTCGAAGAGCCTCCTTGACCTTGGCTTCTCTCAGAGGCGCAACATAACAGCGGGGGCACTTCCACAGACGATGAACGATATTTTGTATTGGTGGCCGCATTAAGGGGCTAGATGCGTCAGCCCGCCAGCCCATCTGGAGCGCAAGCTCCCGCATGAAGGGCGCCTCGGTCGCAGAAGCTCCGATCCCGCGGGGGACGACCCGGGCGAGGACGAGGGGGACGAGGGGGACGAGGAGCACGAGGAAGCACGAGCAGGGAGGAGCTCACCCGCCCCCCATCCCACTCGGCGCGATCCTGCGGGGGACGACCAGGGCGAGGACGAGGGGGACGAGGGAGCACGAGGGAGCACGAGGAAGCACGAGCAGGGAGGAGCTCACCCGCCCCCCATCCCACTCGGCGCGATCCTGCGGGGGACGACCAGGCGAGGACGAGGGGGACGAGGGAGCACGAGGAAGCACGAGCAGGGAGGAGCTCACCCGCCCCCCCTCCCCACTCGGCGGCAGCCGAGGCGCGCCGCTGGCGCTGCCGGCCGGGCCGTGGGGCGGCCCGCTGCCCGCCGGCGCCCAGGCGCTGCGTGCGCGCCCAGGGGGAGCGGGGCGGGCGGCGGTGGCGGCGGTGTTCCGCGCAGCGGCCTCCAGCGGGCTTGCATCCTTATCGCCCATCCTTACCAGCAGCTTTGGCTGTAGAAGATCCCCACCCCCCTCCCGATCCCCACCACCTCACCACCCCAGCTGGGGATGTGCCCCTCGAAGCCCGAAGGGGACAGCCTGCATCCCTATCTCGCGGGGTAGATCGGCCATTGGGGCCCAGGCCACGCCCGTGGCGGGGGTGGTGGCGGTGTTCCGTGCTGTGGGGATCAGGGGGGAAATAAACACACAGACACAATGAATCGTCGATTCCCCAGGAAATCTGGGAAGGTGTGGGAGATGGGGGGGAGGACAAAAAACCCAAAGATATTGGAAAAGATGGGGAATTTGTTTATTTGTGTGTATTTATTTGTGTGTCCCAGGGCCCCTTCAGGGGACCCGTGCCAAGACGCACCCCGCTCGCCTCCAGGGTGCCCTGGGTTTCCTGGGTCCCGACGGTCTTGCTGTGGAAAGCGCGATGCTCCCACGCCAGAAACCGGTGGACGTCCTGGGGTGCAGGGTTGGGTGTCTTGCGGAAGGTGTCGTGTGGTCGGGTCCTTACTGTGTCGTTTACAGTCGAATCCGATTGTACAGTGGGTTTACGCGGCGTTGGCGCGCCGGCGACGGTGGCGAAGGCGTTCGAGGTCTGAGTCTGCGGCGCGGGATCACCCGGGAACGCCACTGGACCCGGCGGAATTCAATTTTGAACGATCGGTTCAATGTTGAACAGTCGGCGCGGTGTCAAACGCCTCGGCGCGCGCTGACGCCGCGCGAATCCACCGTAATTTTCCCAAGTGTACCTTTGCATTCTTGCTTCATTAGTCCATCCGTGACTGGCAAGCCCACCCGAAAAGTTTCGACATTGGCCTCCAGCGGGCTTGCATCCTTATCGCCCATGCTTACTAGCAGCTTTGGCTGTAAAAGATCCCCATTCCTTTCCCGATCCCCACCATCTCAACACCCCAGCTGGGGATATGCCCCTCGAAACCCGAAGTGAACAGCCTGCATCCCCATCTCGCGGGGTAGATCGGCCATTGGGGCCCAGGCCACGCCCGTGGGGATAGGGATCGGTTCAACGGTACTCAGGTGGTGGAGTGGTGGTCGTGTCGTGATGACACGGAGTGGGAATCAAGCGGCATCAGCAGATACATTGTCGTCGGGCCGCGCGGATTTTTTGGATTTGCGCTAGACCCCGCGGGCGGCGCCTCTGGCGACGCCCCTGGCGCGGCCCGCATGCCAGAGGGTGGGCCCAGCGCCGCTGCGAGAGCTTCGCGCCGACCACCCCGCTTTTTCCCAACCCTCCTGTGTTGGGTACTCGTTTGGAATCGAGCAGTGTGATTTCCCCGTCCTCGTTCCTCCTTCCTCCTCCCCTCTCCTCCCCTCCTCCTTCTCTCCTGTTTCCTGTGCTCCCCTCTCCTCTTCTCTCGTGCCGCGTCGGGCTGCGATCTGCGAAACGGTCGGCACCTTTGTGGGCTCCTGGGAGGCCCAGCGGAGGTACGTCATACGCAGATCATCACTAGAGCTCGCGGTGCCCTGGGGGGCTGCGATCTGCGAAACTGTCGGCACTTTCGTGGGCTCCTGGGAGGCCCAGCGGAGGTACGTCATGCGCTGACCACCACTACAGCTCGCGGTGCCCTGGGTGGCTGCGATCTGCGAAACTGTCGGCACTTTCGTGGGCTCCTGGGAGGCCCAGCGGAGGTACGTCATACGCGGACCACCACAAACGCCCCTTGCGCGTTTGTTTTGTATTTTCGCCGCTGCTCTTCTTGCTGCGCTGTTCTGAAATCACTGCTGGGTGCTCTTCTTGCGCACGGCGAGTCCTTCAGAATGCCAGTCAGCATTGAGTGGTCCTGAGTATACTCGCCACATGTGTAAACAGGGTTGGGTACGTCGCAGGGTAATTTTCTTCGAGATTCCAGATGGTAATGGCGATCGAGACGACTCCAGATTTCACAATAATAATGTGGTGGTATGATCGAGGGGGGGCGTGATTTGAGTTGTCTTTCAGGAGTTCCGTGGGGTCTGGGCAAGATGCCGCCCTTTCATGGCTGGTCTATGGGGTGGTCCAACACCGCTTGTGGGGGAGGGTTGTGACCCCCTCCCTTTTCTTGCGAAATTCGGAGTGAGCGGTGGACGGGAGGGGGGATTGAGAAAGGGAGGGTTGAGATTGCGAAATTTGGAGTGAGCGGTGGAAGGGAGGGGGGATTGAGAAAGGGAGGGTTGAGAAGGGCGGACGAGAGGGGGGATTGAGACAGGGGGAATAGGGGGGATGGTGTCCGATGCGTGCCCACCGTCGGCACGCCCTCCTCCGTGCACCCTGGCGCCTCCAGCGCCGGGGGGCGCCGGGAACTGCCAGTGGCATGCAGGGGCTTTCCCAAGCCATCCCCTCCTGTCGTCCCGCTCTTTCGTCTGAATCGAGTGGTGACGATGATGATGATGATGATGATGATGATGATGACGATGAGGAGAAGGATGAGGATGAGGATGAGGATGAGGATGAGGATGATGATGATAATGAGGATGATGAGGATGATGATGATGATGATGATGCTGATGGTGATGCTGACGATCGTGACGAGGATGATGATGTTGATGATGATGCATGATGCTGATGGTTGCGACTACTGATGATGACAATGATGATGACGATGATGACGAGGATACTGACGATGATGATGTTAATGATGATTATGATGATGACGATGCTGATGATGATGGGGGTGGTGGTGATAATGTTGATGACGATGCTGATAATGGTGATGATTGGTGATGGTGATGATGGTGATGGTGATGGTGATGATGATTATTATGATGACGCTCACGATGATGATGCTGATGCTGATGATGACAATGGTAGGGACGGTGATGATGATGATGATGATGATGATGATGATGATGGTGGTGGTGGTGGTGGTGGTGATAGTGGTGGTCATGACTATGCTGATGATGATGATTAATGAGGATGATGGTGATTATGATGATGATGACGACGACGATCATGATGATAATGCTGGTGATGTTGATGGTGGTGGTGATGATGATGGCGACGATGATGATGACGATGATGATGATGATGATGCTGATCATGGTGATGATGACGACGACGATCATGATGCTGATGCTGGTGATGTTGATGGTGGTGGTGATGATGATGGCGACGATGCTGATGACGATGATGATCATGATGCTAGTGATGGTGATGGTGATGGTGGTGGTAATAGTGGTGTTGATGATGACGATGACGATGACGATGCCAATGACGGACATGGCGATGCTGATCATGGTTATGGTGAGAAGGATGATGGTGGCAATGATGATGATCATGCTGGTGATGTGTGTGATGGTGATGATGTTGGTGATCATGGTGGTGATGGCGATGCTAATGATGATGGTGGCGGTGTGCTGATGATAATGGTGACGGTGATGGTTATGATGGTGCTAATGATGGTGATGCTGATGATGATCATGCTGAGTAATGGTGAGTAGTGATGCTGGTGATGATGCTGATGATGATGCTAATGCTGGTGATGATAGTGTTGATTTTGATTCTGCAGATGCTGATGCTTTCGATGACGACTTTGACGATGCTGATGGTGATGATGATGACGATGTTGATGATATTGATGATGATGATGATGCTGCTGAAGATGATGATGATGATGAGGATGATGATAATGCTGAGGATGATGATGATGATGCAGATGCTGATGCTGAGGATGATGATGACTTTGGCGACGCTGATAGAGATGAGGATGATGATGTTGATGATATTGATGATGATGCTGATGAATATGAATATGATGATGATGATGATGATGATGATGATGATGATGATGATGATGATGATGATGATGATGATGATGATGATGATGATGATGATGATGCTGATGCTGGTGATGATGATGGTGATGTTGATGGCGATGATGATGGTGATTGTTATGGTGATGGTGATGTTGTTGATGGTGATGGTGATGAGTAGGATGAGGATTCGGGTGAGGAGGAGGACGATTGGGGCCAAGCGGACGCAGTCGCTCGGTGCACCTGCGTTGCGGCCTGTCTGTTTCGGTTTCGGTGTTCGTTGTCGGTTCCGACGGTTGTTGTGTTGTGGTGTCGTCGTGGACGGCCACTAGGAGGACGCCGACCCGATATCGTTCGGATAGACTCGACGCACGTCCCGAATCGACCGATTTTCCTGATTCGATCATAACTGCTCCTGCCATCCGCCTCGTGCTCCTCCTCCTTCTCCTCCTCTGTCCTCCTCCATTCTCCTCCATCCTCCTCTATCCTCCTCCATCCTCCCTTGATACCCCGCTCAGTGCTACCAGGTATTGAGTTTAAGCCTCAGCCCGCTGCCCCATCCGAGAGCAGCTCTGCTGAGTGGCACTTCTATTTTCGGTTTCAGGCTTTCTGGCATTGTGATAAGTGCCTCCAGATTTGTCGCCCTAAGTCTGACACTAAACCTTCTCCTGGGAAGTCTGCTAGTTAGCTTGACGGCCTTCTGACCAAAAGTGAGTTCCTCTCCTGGCGTAGTGATCGACCTGAGCTTATAGTTTACGTGTCTTTCAAGATTTACACCTCCCACGGTCTGAGTCGGGGCCTTCGTGAGAAATGCAGCCTTTCTCCTGGAAAAAGTTCGGGATCTGGGGTTGGCGGCAGAGTGCGGCAGGCCGGTCCTGGAGTGTTCTCCCAGGGCTCGAGCTAAACGGTGTTTCGGCATTTTCGTGGGCCGTTTTCGTTTTGACTTCGTTTTGCAGCAAATGTGGAACGAAGACAGAACTAGGGATGACGAAAACAGAATGAAAACGGAAAGCACTGTTTAACTCGAGCCCTGGTTCTCCCCAGGGTCTCTGCTTCGTACTTCTGTCTTGGCGGTACCTGGAGGCGCCACGTCGAGCCCATCCGTGGGAATGGCCCGAGGTGCTCGAACCCTCGCGGGCCGAA